GGGCAGAGGTAGTTGTTCCTGCCCCCCCAGCAGCAGAGTGATATGCCGGGAAGGCAGTGTGAAGTGCAGGGAGAGGAGAGCAGTGTCCTCCCTCCCCAGCGGCAGCGTGATTTTTTGGGAATTGGGAGCCCAGTCTCCATTCCCCAGCGGCAGTATGATGTTTTGGGAATTGGGAGCCCAGTCTCCATTCCCCAGCGACAGCACAGATTATTGGGAATTGGGAGCCCAGTCTCCATTCCCCAGTGGCAGAGTGTCCTACCGGGAATAGAGAGCCCAGTCTCCTTTCCCCAGCAGCAGGACTCTGTATTGGGAGCAGAGACAGTCGGTCTCCCTTCCCCACAGCTGGAAGTATGTATGGGAGAGGAGCTTGTTACCCCCTCTCCCCAGTGGCAGCTTAATGTACAAAGGGGAGACAGTAAGCCCCACAACCGTGCAGATGGGACCGTAGTCTCTACACTGCCAGCACAGGGGGTAGGGACGGTCGGTCCTGCCCCCAGCGACAGGGCTGTTTAGCCAAAGGGGAGACAGTCGGTCTCCCCCTCCAGCAGCAGAGATGGGTAACCAAAGGGGAGACGGTCGGTCTCCAGCAGCAGGACTGTGCATCTAAAGGGGAGACAGTCAGTCTCCAGCAGCAGCAGCAGAGCGGTGTCTTTAAAGGGGAGACAGTCGGTCTCCCCCTCCAACAACCAGGCTTCCACCGGGCTACCCTCCCAGTAGCGCTGGCAACAGGGCAGAGTGCCGCTGGTCTCTGCCCACGCAGCAACCCACCAAGTCAGTGTACCCGTACCCAGCACAGCCGTGGTGAGGCACCTGGACCTGGACAAGCTTCCCCTTTACCCAGGTGTAGTAACCATTTATTGTGGGTGGGCTGTGCTGTTGATTATTTGTTGTGGGTGGGCTGCTGGACTAACAAGGGCACTGACCGGCAGGAGGTCAGATACCCTGTTAGTCTGTTTGGAAAAGGGGAGAGATGTGACGAGACCAATCTCGCCACATTGCATTGGAGAAGCCTGGTTGCTCGCCTGCTGCCTTTGGACTATGGCCCCCTTTTAAAAGACTTTATTTTTGCATGCAGAAAAGCTGTATTCGTGCTTTTCTGCCGGTTGTTCGGTAGTTTCAATCTACCGAACAACCGTACGAATGACTGGACCACCTGGGAGCTGGAGTGTGCCGGCAATTAACCTCCCTGAAGCTGCGGTTAACCGCAGCTTAATTGATGAACGCTGGGTGGCCGCCATTCGTATCCCGAACACGAGGTCGCGGCCATTTTAAACCATACGAATGAACAGCGGTGTTCGCCTCTATTTTCATGGAACTAAAATCGGACACAGTTTTGCGCGAACACCGCTGAAGCCGCCGACCTCCCTTCTTGTTCGGTGAAAGCACACGAATGACCCGGTGTTCGGTATTTTTGTGTGAATGTCTTATACCCCAGATAGGAATCCCATGGAGCCCATTCGTATGAAACTGACTGTAAAGACTTTGGCTCCATGGCGATTGAACTGTATTCGTGTAGTCTGAGTGCCATTCACCTAATAATGTGCACTCAGACCTGAGCTATCTGGGGATGTGTTACATGTCGGTGTTTTATGTAGTAAATGTTACTTTGTGCATTTTAAAGTGTTATGCTGTTTTTGTGTTCCCACGTGTGTAATGGAGTTTTGCCTTTGTCTTGGGAGATAATTGAGTTACTTCCCAATTATCTCCCAGGGCAGAGGGGAGGAAGCCAGGATGCATTGTGGGAATATACTGTGACTGTGTGTCCTTTTTGTATACTTGTCTGTCCCTTGTCACAGTCTCCCATTTGGTCCCCTAGGGGAGTGTCCACCAGGTGGGAGACCTGCATAAAAGCTGGGCAGGTAGCCCTCATTAAACAGACCACTGCTTGACCCTCAACACGGAGCCTTGTCTCGTCTTTGGGGGGGATTTACTGTATGCTGCTAAGGACTGATTGCCAGGAGTGTAAGCCGCTTGGAAGCTTTTCCTGTTCGCCTGCTAGCAGCTATTCGTATGGTTCCTGTTCGTTTATTTGAAGTGCTACCTTATTCCCTTGTATGCCGTTCGGGAGTTTGGAGCATTCACTTATTGGCGGTTCGTGAGTTTTGGTGATTCTACAGTAGCTGTGCCTGTCTCTGAAAGGGGGATTATCGTCTAAGCGTTTTTTTTCCCCTTTTATGCTAAACGGTCCGTTACAGATAGTGATGTCATAGTATGATGGAGGCTGGAGGTTACAATAGCGAGATAGTGATGTCATAGTATTATAGAGGCTGGAGGTTACAATAGTGAGATAGTGATGTCATAGTATGATGGGGGCCGGAGGTTACAATAGTGAGATAATGATGTCATAGTATTATAGAGGCTGGAGGTTACAATAGTGAGATAGTGATGTCATAGTATTATAGAGGCTGGAGGTTACAATAGTGAGGTATTGATTTCCTAGTTTGATGGAGGCCGGAGGTTACAATAGTGAGATAGTGATGTCATAGTATGATGGAGGCCGGAGGTTACAATAGTGAGATAGTGATGTCATAGTATTATAGAGGCTGGAGGTTACAATAGTGAGATAGTGATGTCATAGTATTATAGAGGCTGGAGGTTACAATAGTGAGGTATTGATTTCCTAGTTTGATGGAGGCCGGAGGTTACAATAGTGAGATAGTGATGTCATAGTATGATGGAGGCCGGAGGTTACAATAGTGAGATAGTGATGTCATAGTATGATGGAGGCTGGAGGTTACAATAGTGAGATATGGTATGATGAGGGATTGGTGCCACTATAATAGTAATATCAAATCATAATAAACAAATTGCATTAAATATTTTTATATTGCTTGCAATAAGAGTAGTGTATTATTTGTATTAAACATTACGATATTCTTTGAGTTCGTAATGGCAGTCCCCTTGTTTTCCACATTTATTATTCTGCATTACTCATGTAACCCACATTCTCATTACTTAGATAACGCTGTTTATCGAACATACACGTACAATGAGAAGGACGGAGGACGATCTGTTCACTCGTTCAGTTACGTCTCCGATGACTTCATACTCTGCACGTTTTTACACTTGTTTCCCATTTTACCTCTTTAGATTATGAACATGGAGGTCGGGAGTATCCCCGTTGATGTAGTGGTCACCGTACTCACCCAGCAGACACATGGCGAGGGACTGAAGTGGGACGTGTGCAATGTCTCCATGGTGAGAGCGCTGTTGATGTACTGTACGTGTTGTTACATGTGTAATGATGGAATTGTTTATTAAAGAGGCTTTATGTATTGTGTTAGGACTCACGCACGAACTGTGATACAGTGAAGCACAGCATGAACCCTCAACAAAAGGTACGATGTCTTAATCTTCAGTCAATTCACTAAAGCAGGAATTGTACAGCGTAAAATGAGAATTGAACCATATGGGCTAAGATAAATAAATTGAAAAAAATAACGGACTGTAGAATTTTCTCACTTTGGTTCTTTTGACCGAAATTGTTACATTTAAAGGTCACTCCTCCACATTTCCTGATTTAGAGCATATAGCTGATTATGTTTACTTAAAGTATGATATCATAAAATGAGCTCATATAGTGATGTCATCTGCAGGAGTTCTTATGGGCTGTACAAAGCCTGAATGAGACCTTCATACATGTGATAGGGGAACTGAGACCCACTAAGGCCTGGCAGGTAATTATTGCACACTGTATTCTACACAACCTAAAGATATGTAATATTCCATGTTACCTGGAATACAAGAAAATGGCTTGTTACCCTCCCCTGATGAAGCCGTTATACGATTGGGATAGAATAGAGGTGAATGGTTCGTTATCTCTCCTATGTTAAAATGGTAATACGATGGGCATAGAATAGAGGTGAATGGCTCGTTATCTCTGGTAATAGGAATGCGATGGGGTTAGAATAAAGGCCAATGTTTCGTTGTCTCTCCGGTGATAATAAAGTAATACGATGGGATGGAATAGAAGTGAATGGCTTGTTATCTCTCCTATGTTAAAATGGTAATACGATAGGGATAGAATAGAGGTGTGTTACGACACGTACCGTCGGGTAGATGAAGCCGCCGTTTAGGCAATAATCCCCTCCTCCAGAAATGCAGGTTTAAATCTAGCCGATCGCCAAACTCCCGAACGAAGTCCGCGAACACGGCAACTCCCGATCAGCCAAACAGTCGAACGCCTTCCACAGCTAGAAATAACGAAACCGCTGTCCCAATAATAATTCCCCCCACAAACGAGACCAAGCTCCGTCTTGAGGGTCAAATGAAGATCTGTTTAATGGGGGCTACCGGCCCGGTATTTATGCAGGTCTCCACAAGGTGGACACTCCCCGAGGGGACCTTGTGGAAGACTGTAACACATATTGTACAGTAGCCAATCGCAGTGGCTTCAATAGTAGCCCTTCCCATCTTGCCCATAATTCCGTCTTCTTTACCTTGGAGATAATTGGGGAAGAAACCTAATTATCTCCCAAGGTAGAGACCATCGCCATCTTAATTTACAGTAACAAAAAGACATTAAAATACATAACTACAGAAATACCGAATGCATATGGTTCGTGTAATGTATCCCCAGACAGCCTGGATCTGAGGGCATGTTTTCACCGAATAGCGCTCAGATCCGATGTATCTAGTCGAATCGCCATGGAGTCAAAGTCTTTCACCAGTCCTTCGGTATACGAATGACTCCATGGGATGGCTGTCGGGGTAAAAGTCCATACGACTGAATAAAACTCCCGAACGACCGACGTTCGCATGCTTGTCGAAAAGGAAGGTAGGCAGCAGCTTTTCAGCGGTGTTCGGTAGTTTAAGTGTCCGTTTTTAGTTCCATACAGTTTGTACCGAACACCGCTCTGTGTTCGTATGTCCCAAAATGGCCGCTGCCTCGTGGTCGACATGCGAACGACGACCACCCGTACGAATGGAATGGAGAGGTGTCTGCGGTTAACCACAACGTTCTAATTGGGGCCAAGATGTTAACCAGCAGCACACTCCTCTCCTGGGTGGCCGTTCGTTCGGTAGTTTCAATCGGCATTTTGCAAATACACGAACGGGGGTATAGGAACAGGCAATTCCGCGAACAAAGGGAAACAGACGAACCAACAATGCAGATGAATCTGTCACACGGCTCCCCCCTTGTGGGACACTCCGGCAGACCCGGCTTGACCCTTTAGCGGGTCAACGTGGGGATGACCGGACTAAGATGGGGTGAGGATGTCGGTTTGCCTGGACAATCCATCTGCGTTCCCATTCTGCTTACCGGGTCGATAAGTGATGGTGAAGTTATATGGCTGTAGTGCTAAACTCCACCTCAGCAGTCTGCCATTGTCTCCAGAGACCCGGTTAAGCCAGACAAGGGGATTGTGGTCCGTCACAAGGGAAAATTCCTGTCCATATAAATACGGGCTTAGCTTCTTCAATGCCCACACCAGGGCCAAACATTCCTTCTCCACTGCCGCATAACTCACTTCTCTGGGTAACAACTTTCTGCTGAGATATGCGACAGGGTGCTCTCCTCCATCTTCCCCGACCTGGCTCAGCACAGCCCCCAGTCCATACATGGAAGCATCTGTATGGACGAGAAAACGTTTGTTAGGGACTGGGGCAGCCAGGACAGGGGCATTCACAAGAGCATGTTTGAGTGCTTGGAACGCAGCTTCACAAGCCGGAGACCACAGGACCTGCTTAGGAAGATTCTTCTTGGTCAAGTCAGTCAGGGGTTTAGCAATAGAGCTGTAGTCGGGGACGAAGCGCCTATAGTATCCTGCTGTCCCTAGGAAGGCTAACACCTGGGTCTTGGTGATAGGTGTGGGCCAGTTAGCAACTGCCTCTATCTTGGCTGGCTCTGGCCTCTGGCTCCCACACCCTACTCTGTGACCCAGGTACTGCACTTCAGCCATGCCTAAATGGCACTTCTCTGGCTTCAATGTCAGGCCAGCGGCCCGAATCTTGTCCAGCACCACCCCTACATGTACTAGGTGTTCTTCCCAGGACTCACTGTAGATCGCAATGTCATCCAGGTATGCACAAGCAAATTCCTGGAATCCATCAAGAAGTCTATCCACCATACGCTGGAAGGTAGCCGGGGCATTCTTCATCCCAAATGGCATGACCTTAAATTGGTACAGGCCAAATGGGGTGACGAAGGCCGACTTGGGGATAGCATCCTCGGCCAGGGGAATCTGCCAGTAGCCTTTGCACAGGTCTATGGTGGTCAGATAGCGTCCCCTGGCAATGCGATCTAACAATTCATCTACCCGGGGCATCGGGTAGGCGTCAGTGGTGGTCCGCTCATTGAGGCGCCTGTAGTCCACACAGAACCGGGTGGTCCCATCCTTCTTGGGCACCAGGACTACAGGCGAGGCCCAAGGGCTATCGGAGTGTTCGATGACCCCCAGCTGGGTCATCTCCTGTATCTCCTTCCGCATTCCTTCCCGGACTGCTTCAGGGATACGGTAAGGGGGTTGTCGCAGAGGGTTCTGTCCAGGGGTTTCTACCTTGTGTACAGCTAGGGTAGTGTAACCAGGTTCTTGGGAGAAGGTCGCCTGCTTTTCCCACAAAGCTGTCTTGCCTGGCCCTTCTCGGTAGAGCTCAATCTGTCCCCTAGCTGTACTAGGCTAGTAAGATCCGTCTGGGGGTCCCTCTCTAACAGGTCTGGCAAGGGTAAACTTTCTGTATCATCTGCAGCAGGGGCACATACTGCAGCGACATTCTCTGGTCTCTCCTGATACTCCTTTAGCATGTTCACATGGAAGGATCGCTGGATCCTTTCATCTGAACAGCTGGCTATAAGGTAGGTAGTATCACATATCTGTGCTAACACCTTATACGGGCCCTGCCAAGATGCCTGCATCTTGTTCGCCTTCACAGGTTTGAGCACTAGTACCTTCTGCCCAACCTGGAAAACTCGCTGTCGGGCACCCCGATCGTACCACCTCTTCTGTCTCCCCTGAGCCACCTGGAGATTCTCCCTTACCATTAGGGACAGTTTCTCCATGCGGTCCCGGAGTTCCAGAACATATGGCACTATGGGGGTCCCTTCCTGCTCTGTCTCCCCCTCCCAGTGGCCTCTAATGAGATCTAGGGGTCCGCGGACCCTTCTCCCATATAGCAACTCAAAGGGGGAGAACCCAGTAGATTCCTGGGGCACCTCTCTGTAGGCAAACAACAGATGAGGCAGGAATCGCTCCCAGTCTCTGCAAGTGTCAGAAAAGGTCCTCAGCATCTGTTTGAGGGTGCCATTAAATCGCTCGCAGAGACCGTTAGTCTGTGGATGGTAAGGTGAGCTAAGCAGCGGTTTAATACCGCACACCTTCCACAGTTGCTGGGTGAACACAGCGGTGAATTGGGTTCCCTGGTCAGAGAGAATCTCTTGAGGGAACCCGACTCTGGTAAAAATCCTAACCAGGGCATCAGCAACTGTCTCTGCCTCTATATTAGACAGCGCTACTGCCTCTGGATAGCGAGTGGCATAATCCACCACGGTGAGAATATATTTCTTACCGGATGGACTAGCCCTGGCCAGTGGACCCACAATGTCAACGGCTATGCGGGCAAAGGGCTCCCCAATGATAGGCATAGACATAAGCCTAGCTCTTGGGTGGTCTCCCCGCTTTCCTATCCGTTGACATGTGTCACACGTACTGCAGTATGTCCGCACAGCCTGATTGAAGTTTGGCCAAAAAAAGTTCTGCATGATCCTATAGGCTGTGCGGCGGGAACCTAGATGTCCAGCTAGCGGAACATCATGCCCTATCCGCAGAATCTCCTGCCGGTATTTCGCGGGCACTACCAGCTGTCGATTCGGCGGAGGGGCAACACTCTTCGGGGAAAGCTTGGGGATCCTATATAACCTGTCCCCCACCCACTCATACCGTTCTCCATCTAATCCTTCCTCTCCAGTATCCGCTCTGTCCCTATACTTCTGGAGGGTCGAGTCTGTCTGAGTTTCCCTCCCAAACTCCTCTGGGGAGTCCCAGTTAACAAAGGTCGGTCCTAGGGTACCAGTCGGGGACTCGGTCCTTACCTGGGTCTCAGCAGCAGGTGGGCTGGTTCCAGCAGCACGGGTCTGGGCACGGGTAGTCACTGGGTTGATAGCGGCAGGTCCCATTGGAGCATAGGCGGACACCAAAGGGGCCAAGTCGTTCCCAAGCAAAACATCAGCCGGTAAGTCTTTCATGACCCCCACATTCACGTGTCCAGAGCCCACCCCCCAATCCAAGTGAACCCGGGCAACCGGTAAGCGGAACACTGCACCTCCCGCCACCCTCACTGCCACAGTATCTCCAGTGTGCTGGTGTTCGGACACAAGGTTCTTTTGGAGCAAAGTCATAGTGGCTCCGGTGTCTCTCAGACCAGTTACCGCTTTGCCATTTAGTTTAACGGTCTGCCTGTGCTGTTGGCGGTTATCCTGCTGCGCTGCTTGTACTGGATCCGCCTCGTGTAATATACCCCAAAATTCCTCCTGCTCAAGACAGTGAGCGGAAGGTGGGGGTGGCTGCTGATTTCCGCCGGCTGGTCTTCTCCACGACTGTGCTTGGTTCGAATTGTTTAATGGGCACTCAGGTCGCTTGTGCCCCAACTGCTTACACCCATAGCAACGGATCGGCTGTGAATAATCTCGGGCGTTGAATCGGGCTGGCTGAACGTAATTGTTCGCTGTTGGCATGGTGGGGGTGCGTTGTGCTGGGTGTTGATACACTGCAGAGGTTGGAGGGGCTGCTGGTTTGTACTCCACTCGGGTAGGGACCTTGGCTGCTGTCTGGTCCAGTTTCCTGGCATCAGTGTACTCATCAGCCAGACGAGCAGCTTCGGGCAAGGTAGCGGGTTTGCGGTCCCTAACCCACTCTCTGACTCCTACAGGTAAGCGGTCAAAACAGTGCTCCAACAAAAATACTTGCAGCACCTCTTCCCCAGTTACCGCTTGGCACCCTGCCATCCAGTGGGCTGCGGTGCGGTGTACTCGGCATGCCCACTCAACATAAGAATCACCCGCCTGCTTGTTAGTGTCCCGGAATCGCCGCCGGTATGCCTCAGGGGTCACAGCGTATCTGGCCAAAAGGGCATCTTTCACTGCCCTGTAGCTGGTAAGTTCCTCCTCTGGGATGGCCCGAAACGCCTCACTGGCCCGGCCGGATAACTTCCCAGAGAGGATGGGGACCCATTCTCCTGCGGGTACCTGGTGCAAGGCACATTGCCTTTCAAAGTCCGCCAGGAACCCATCAATTTCTCCTTCGGCTTCTACAAAGTTCCGAAATGCAGCAAAAGGTACTTTTCTCCTTCCATTATTATTAAACGGTACCTCAGCTGCTGCAGCGCCTCTTCCTTGAAGCGCCTGTTGGGCTGCTACTGCCGCTTGCACTTGCACCACAATATCTGCTGCGGGGTTGGGGCCAAAATGTGCCAGCCTGATCTGAACTGCCCGGTTAAACTGTATCTCCTCGGGTGTTAACTCCAGTATGCCAGGCACATTTGCTCCCCCCGCTCCCTGTGCTGCATCCATTTCCAATAGTATGGCAATAATCTCTCTTTTCTTGAGATTACTCGCTGATCGTCCTCTGCGCTCCAATATATCTTTAAGGGTAGCACGCCTTAACTCCTCATACTGCATTTCCAACCTGGGATGTGTAGCTGGCCTTCTGGGCTGTAGGATTCATCCCGTCGCTTGCCACCAATTGTTACGACACGTACCGTCGGGTAGATGAAGCCGCCGTTTAGGCAATAATCCCCTTCTCCAGAAATGCAGGTTTAAATCCAGCCGATCGCCAAACTCCCGAACGAAGTCCGCGAACACGGCAACTCCCGATCAGCCAAACAGTCGAACGCCTTCCACAGCTAGAAATAACGAAAGCGCTGTCCCAATAATAATTCCCCCCACAAACGAGACCAAGCTCCGTCTTGAGGGTCAAATGAAGATCTGTTTAATGGGGCTACCTGCCCGGTATTTATGCAGGTCTCCACAAGGTGGACACTCCCCGAGGGGACCTTGTGGAAGACTGTAACACATATTGTACAGTAGCCAATCGCAGTGGCTTCAATAAGTAGCCCTTCCCATCTTGCCCATAATTCCGTCTTCTTTACCTTGGAGATAATTGGGGAAGAAACCTAATTATCTCCCAAGGTAGAGACCATCGCCATCTTAATTTACAGTAACAAAAAGACATTAAAATACATAACTACAGAAATACCGAATGCATATGGTTCGTGTAACGTATCCCCAGACAGCCTGGATCTGAGGGCATGTTTTCACCGAATAGCGCTCAGATCCGATGTATCTAGTCGAATCGCCATGGAGTCAAAGTCTTTCACCAGTCCTTCGGTATACGAATGACTCCATGGGATGGCTGTCGGGGTAAAAGTCCATACGACTGAATAAAACTCCAGAACGACCGACGTTCGCATGCCTTGTCGAAAAGGAAGGTAGGCAGCAGCTTTTCAGCGGTGTTCGGTAGTTTAAGTGTCCGCTTTTAGTTCCATACAGTTTGTACCGAACACCGCTCGGTGTTCGTATGTCCCAAAATGGCCGCTGCCTCGTGGTCGACATGCGAACGACGACCACCCGTACGAATGGAATGGAGAGGTGTCTGCGGTTAACCACAACGTTCTAATTGGGGCCAAGATGTTAACCAGCAGCACACTCCTCTCCTGGGTGGCCGTTCGTTCGGTAGTTTCAATCGGCATTTTGCAAATACACGAACGGGGGTATAGGAATAGGCAATTCCGCGAACAAAGGGAAACAGACGAACCAACAATGCAGATGAATCTGTCACAAGGTGAATGGCTCGTTATCTCTCCTATGTTAAAATGGTAATACGATGGGGATAGAATAGAGGTGAGCATTTCAGGTGAGCATTTCCACTGCAAGTCGGACCGCCAGGGGCCATGCGGGGTTTAGACCAAATGCCTAGCGTGTCATTTTTCGTGAGCATTGACGTTTTCATGTCCGCTAATCAATGGATTGTATAGTGTGACACTAGTAGCTCCGCCCTAACCGTACCATTTTCCTATGGACCTTCATCTGAAGGGGGACCAGGAATGGTGCGGTTGGGTTCGGTTCGGTTGTATGGGCCACTTTCATAATGGAAACACTGAAAATAGCATACCGTGCCGAACCGACTTGAGGCATAAATGAACCTCCGCAGTCACCCTGAAAGCTGTTGGATGTTAATGCAGGTTTTGCTGGTTTCTATGGTTACTGCCCACTTTCAGTATTATTATTCCCATTTTTTCTGTCACATTTCTGAGTTCTCCATTTGATATCTGTTGGTACACCGTTGTACTATCTGATCTCAATATTCCTTTATGCATGTGATTGTAATATAACAGAGTGTAGGTGTAGCACACTAACACGTATCTCACCTGTGACCTTCAGAAACCTGTGTCCATCATTGTGAATAGCTCTGTGACAATCCAGTACAACAAAACGAGGTACTACAGTGACACGAAAGGAACGTTCTACTCCGCTCAGGTACTGGCCAAAAGGCAACATTCCTCAGAATTGTATGTATTTGTAACGGCTTACTTAAATTCTAAAACACATTGCTAAACATCTATAACTCAAAAACAAGTGAGTGCTACAGGGAGACTGAGTGAGAGAGAGGGAGAGACTGAGTGAGAGAGAGGAGGAGACTGAGTGAGAGAGAGGGAGAGACTGAGTGAGAGAGAGGGGGAGGCTGAGTGAGAGAGAGGCTGAGTGAGAGAGAGGGAGAGACTGAGTGAGAGAGAGGGAGAGGCTGAGTGAGAGAGAGGGAGAGACTGAGTGAGAGAGAGGAGGAGACTGAGTGAGAGAGAGGAGGAGACTGAGTGAGAGAGAGGGAGAGACTGAGTGAGAGAGAGGGGGAGGCTGAGTGAGAGAGAGGCTGAGTGAGAGAGAGGGAGAGACTGAGTGAGAAAGAGGGAGAGGCTGAGTGAGAGAGAGGGAGAGACTGAGTGAGAGAGAGGGGGAGACTGAGTGAGAGAGAGGGGGAGACTGAGTGAGAGAGAGGGAGAGACTGAGTGAGAGAGAGGGGGAGACTGAGTGAGAGAGAGGGGGAGACTGAGTGAGAGAGAGGAGGAGACTGAGTGAGAGAGAGGGAGAGACTGAGTGAGAAAGAGGGAGAGACTGAGTGAGAGAGAGAGGGAGAGATGGAGGGACTGAGAGAGAAGGAGAGACTGAGTGAGAGGGAGGGAGAGTCTGAGTGAGAGACTTCTTCATGGGGACTTGGTGAGTAACACTCTGTGAAGGGTTACTCATGGAGTGAGACTGTCTGTGCTCAGTTTGTGCTTTGTCTATTGCCCAGGTCTCTACACGAGTGGAGCTTCTAGTTGTGCCCAATCACATGCTGTACATTATTGGGAGCAGTGTGGGTGGGGGAGTCCTCCTGCTTTGTATCTGCGTGATTCTCTACAAGGTACGTAATGCAGGGGTCGTTACCTGTGTGTATGGCATTATTTGGAGTCTGTGTGTGAGCATTCAGGGTGGGATATATATTCTGGGTATATACAGTGTGTGAGCATTCGGGGTGGGATATATATTCTGGGTACATACAGTGTGTGAGCGTTCGGAGTGGGATATATATTCTGGGTATATACAGTGTGTGAGCGTTCGGGGTGGGATATATATTCTGGGTACATACAGTGTGTGAGCGTTCAGGGTGGGATATATATATTCTGGGTATGTACAGTGTGAGCATTCGGGGTGGGATATATATTCTGGGTATATACAGTGTGAGCGTTCAGGGTGGGATATATATTCTGGGTACATACAGTGTGTGAGCGTTCGGGGTGGGATATATATTCTGGGTATATACAGTGTGAGCATTCAGGGTGGGATATATATTCTGGGTATGTACAGTGTGAGCGTTCGGGGTGGGATATATATTCTGGGTATATACAGTGTGTGAGCGTTCGGAGTGGGA